TAGGGTCGTGCCATGTCGTTTACTAATCTTTCGCAATTATTATGCAATATGTATGTTGTGCGGTGTGAGCATAGTATCGGCTTTGTGCTTGTAAATGTCCACAATTGTTTTATCAATGTTGATACGTTTGGCGTGCCTTTTTTAAGGGGAAACATCGCAATGATAAGGGTTGGCAGAGATGCAAAGGCACTGCTGATATTTGACAAACCTGATGGCAAGCGATCTTTATTTTCTTCCTTTTCCACTTTGTATATGTGCTATCTTTTTTTTCTGATCGAGTGGCAGAAATGACTGCCTTTTCTTCTTCACAAAAAAACACGCACATTCTAATTTACACGCACATTCTAATTTACATTCTAATCTTCACAAAAAAACACGCAAAACAAAATTCAAAACTGCTAGCTTAAGAATCCTCTGAAGAAAAGGAACTAATCACAACAGGAATACTTGTAATTTGAATTCTTGCACATTTCATAGAAAATATATCCTAAAAAACAAACTCACCTCCCGAAAAAAAAGAGAGAGGAAATTTTAAGCACAAAATCTTTTGTTTGTACATAGGCCACAAAAATGATGCTATTTTCCCTCAAAATTTGCAATCACATAGGAGTTGAACATTTTATACATGCCTAATTGTTGTGACATTTGATAAAACAGTCTTTTGCACCAGTTAGCACACTCTTCCGGATGCATCTTAGTTATACCTGATTAATCACGAATCGAACAGACCATTGTCAATAACCATGTACTCCCTCCGTTCCCAAATATAAGTCTTTCTAGAGATTTGAACAAATGACTACATACATAACAAAATGAATGAATCTACACTCTAAACTATGTCTACATACATCCGTATGCTGTAGTCAATTTGAAATGTCTAAAACGACTTATGTTTAGGAACGAAGGAAGTAATAGTACATGGAGACGACAGGCCTATGATAGCAAGGACATGGAATTCCATTACAAGGCTCAGGCGAGCATCGCCAAGGCAAACATTCCCATTCCAGCTCGTTTAATAAAATATACAGACTAACATCAGTACCAGGCTCAACATTTTCTGAGTATGATACAACAGTCACTGCGCGAACTGGTAAACAACAAGTAACTAGACTTATCTTTTGGACAAGATGGCCAATTCCTATCTGTACACCTGCTAGAAAGGCAAAACTCTGTGAAAAGTGATAGGTTGTACCAGTGGCAAGCTCCACGGTTCCGACCTGTCACTCAAACCACCCAGAAACATCGCATCATCGCCCTGGACTCCAGTGGTTGCAGTTGTAATATGTCAATTTTGCAGAAAAAAAAAAGCATGGAACATGTCAAAGAAGATCTTTGGCTAGCTTTAATGGCACTTCTACAGGTTGCAAGTCAGTGGATGGTGCTTCCAACAGGTGCTTGTCCTCATCACCCTCATCGCTGTTCGAAGAAGATACCGAATCCAAATCATCATCTGCATATAGTGTTTTAAAAGGAAACGAACAAGATGGTCAATAAGATCGCACAAAATTATCATATACTATAGGATAACATCACAAAGTATTTACACAACCCTCCATTCTATATGGGTCTTACAAAATGTGGTTGTTTACAATGGTAACCTAGATGGGTAATTATTCTGCTTGAACTGATTATACCAGAAGATAGAAGATTAGCCAGTAAAAGAACTCTTAATTCATGCAAAATCATAGTGTAGTTTTTAAGTGTCAATTTTGGTCTTGATAATGTTGTACAACTGGCAACTGATAGCTTTGGACGCTTCCTCCACCACTAGGTTTTCCTGATCCAAGCATATAGCCACCGTTCTGGGCAGCCCCGTGCAAACTATTCCGTGTCGGGAATAGATGATTGGTATGATGAAAACTACTGGAATACCTTAGTTTTGCTCATTCAGCATGAAACCAAGAAAACTTGCCTCATTTCAAGGAAACTTAATACATTCAACTATAACTACACAAAACTTGGAAGATCTTAAAGCTGCATGAGTTATATGAAATGTGAAATGCCGATACGTTTCCATGTGTTGCGAAGCGTTCTCATAAGATTATCCATTTTAGATATAAGAATTAATAGAGATCTGCGGTAAATGATAGGCTCTAAAGAATGCCGAAATAGGATTGGTTCCTTCTTCTAAAGATCCGAGACTGGTAAACGTATTGCATAATTTAAAGAAGCCCATTCCATTTCTAGGCGTTATTCAGAATGATGCCTTGAGCGATAGCACATTCTGATTCTTCTATAACACAATTAATTACCATTTACTACTAATTGCTTGATCATGTGCAAGTTACCAATGTGCATAACACTTTAAGGTTGATGGCACTAACTGTTCAAACAGAAAGGAGGATATATAAATAAAGTTATGAATAATTCTGACTACCGTGCAAGACAAGGTGAAATCTCTAACCTCCATGGAAGAAAAAGGAAAATGACCAGATCTTAATCAACATGGTGGAGCTTATATTTTGCAAAGGAAAGCAAAGTATACAACAACATTTCATTCTTAGCCTCATGATATTTCACAAGAATGTCACACTAACAGAAAAAAACAACATGTCAACATATAGGTTTCTTTTGAAAAGAAATGGAAGAAAAGTTGAGAAGATACTGACCAATAACTGGACGAAGAGTTGGGACACGTCCAACAGGAGAAACTTGGACACTTTCTGGTAGTAGGCAGTCAAAAACTGAGCCTGGAGTTTTGAGAGAGAGAAAATGCAACCATTTAGCTATGATTTTCACCAATCTCAGGAAGTACGTAAACATATATGATAATGATACCAACCTACTCTGGCCAACCTATTCACCCAGCCAGGGATGGGTTTTCCAGTCAAGTTCCTACAGACATCATCTGTGAAATGATTGCAGTTCTTCGCAATCAAATTATATGTATTGCCATGATACTTCCCTGCAAGTCTTTCAATGAACGAGCGGAAATCTTCCCGAGACATGTCAGTTGTGCCTAGCGACACCGTCTTTCTATAGACAAATCCAGGGCAACATTTCGATTCCACCTCAAATACACCGCTGGATGAGAAATCATGTGCTCCAAATCCATATTCCATGCCATGAACTACTCATTTGGGAAAAATGGGTAAAAAAACATGAGTTCACGCTTCTGTAGATCATCTAAGTATGACATGCACATGGAGAAAAGGAACATATAACCATAGCAAACATAAGTGAGATGTTCCACAGTTCCACACATAACATAACCAGCCTGATTTCCGCAATGCATAAAAATACAATGACATAAACCTACAGTCAGTTTCAGTTCTTGAATTTTAGTGTACGCCAAAACTAACACTTATGGAAGTATTTTCTTCATGCAAAATAGAATATACCAAGACGGATGTCATGCACATTTCTCCTGGAAAATTTTCCCAAAAAATACTTTATTTAAAGGAGGATACCCCCGGCCTCTGCATCAATCGATGCATGCAGCCATATTATTAAATCAAAACATGACAAAGTCATGACGTCAAAAGAAGCTCATAAAATGAGCAGTACTCGAGAAAATACATTGTTCATTTTATACTTGTTTCCCCTTTCCCCCCTATTATTTCTCGCGCATTGATCAGACATGTCAATATATTTTTGGAAATCCTCCAACAAAATTCATTATTGAGATTGAGGTAACCAAAACATCTAACTGAAATTGATCATAGAACAGCAACGGTAATAACAAAATTGCTCAAAAATCACCTTAACGAAATTGTTTTTAGGAAAACTGAAACAGCTCGCATCTCAGTTAAATCCATAAGCGTAATCATGCTAACAGAGGCAGAATCACGGGAATGGAAGAATCCGCATGAAGAACAAAGGGAAGAAGCAATACCTTCGATTCCGGAGTGGAAGACGCCGAAGCCGAGCCAGTAGAGGTAATCGTTGACGGGCGTGAGGTCGTATACGTTGAGCAACACCGGCGTCGTCGGGCCGTCGTTCCCGGCCTCCATCTCCTCCCGCCGGCGAAAGCCAACGAGCCCTACAGATCTCGCAGCCCGCCCACCATCAACTGGCAGGGAGGGCTAGGGCTAGGGCTAGGTTGGAGCGCGTGAGCCGGGCGACGACGACGCCGAGACGGTGGCAATCGAGTTTTTTTTTCTGTTTTCCCTGGAATTGATTTTTGATTTTCTGATTAATTAGGGGATAATGAACGGCCGCTTCTTTTGACCATGTGACGCTATCTTCACGCCCAGCTGTTTTGGTGCCCCCGCCGGCGACGGTACAGTTCAGTAAATCTATATCTATACTACTATTAATCTATATCTATATCTATACTACTATTAAACAAGCAAACATTATTTTTCTTAAGTGCATCCCGCTTAAACGTACACACTATAACGCAAAGCAATCAGAGCCTTATGATTAAATCCGTTTATTAGATCTAACCATTAAAATGATAATTAACCCTGACCAAAAGTACATTTAGCAATTTGCGGGGGCGGACGAAAACTCTGCCAACCGCGTCCGCTAATCCACTAATCCATCTCTCCGCTAATCCCTCCATCACTTCCGCTCTGCATCGCACATCCTTCCTTTGCCAGCTCCGCAGCGGCCGCCGCGCGCCGCCCGCGAACTCCGCCTCCTCTCACGAGTCGTCGCCCCATTTGTTCTCCGAGCGCCGCCGCCCATCCCGCTGCGCTGAGCTCACACGCCGCAGTCGTCGGCGCCCCTCAATCTCTCCTGCGACCATGGCGCCTCCTACCGCATCCCCACCACTGTCACCGACCTGGCAGCTTTGGCCGCTCCTACGGTGTCATCCTGGACGAATCCTGGACGAATCCGCTGTCAAACGCGTCTGCGCCGTGCGTTGCCGGAGGGAGGGGCCGCATCAGCTGTCGCTGCCGTGCGCCTGGCCAAGCGCTGCGGCCAGGGAGCGTCGCCGCGCCATGTGTCACGGTGGGAGATAAGGTCCGGCCGTGTCGCTCTTCACTAACGCTGCCATGCGCCTGACGTGGGCGGCCTCCGCCGCCGACGAGAGCCGCGGTCGCTGCGGTTAGAGATGCCAAGGCAAAGCTGCACCCGGACGGGGTTGCTCCTGCAGTGCGGGCCATGGCCGAGAGCGACTCCAATGAAGCCATGGCCGTCGTCACGAGGGCGAGCGTGCTGCGCCAATGGCGGGTGCCCCAGAGGGTGCCGCCAAAGCGCACGGCAGTGGACAGGCGCTGAGCAGCGGGCGGTATTGTGGGATCTGGCAGCTGCCGAGAACCTGCGCGATGCACCGAACCTTGATTCCCACCCACTGCACGCAGCCGGCCGGCTCTCACACATCCAACCTCCACGGAGAATGCGACGTTCGTGGTCGCTGCTCTCACCCTTTACAAGCGTTGTATATTTGTGCTTGCAGCTCACTGGCTTGAGAGGGTCATCCTTGGGAGAGGATGAATGGCCCAAGGCAATGCTTGTTGCAGTAGCAATTTATGACTAGCGCCGGGCAGAACAATCTCTCAAATGAACAGGGGACCTCTCTTATTGACAGCATAGATGTTAATCAGTTTGTTATTCCTAAGGTATGGCACATGTGCTTCATAGTTCTTGATTTGTTTTGAAAAAAAAAAAGAAAATATATCACCATGGCATGCAGCTAATTTCAGGGTTATAAGTTAGGCCCACTCTTTCCTCCTACAAGATAGTTCTTGCATGTGCGCTAATGTACTGATGTGTATAGAATTTGCATGCGACATTCTTCAAGGCAATAAAATGTGTACACTTGACCTTCTGCGACATATGTTACATTTTAAACTGAATTACCGAGCTACCTGGATTCAGTAATTTAGTCGTTTCGTGATATTGCAGATGTTGTGATACTATAAAGCAAATATAATTTGAAATATTAGTTTGTGCAAGGGAAACTGTCAGTTAAAGTTGTAATTTTATCTGCTGCTATTTTTTAAGGATGGATTGAACTGAATACTACTAATATTTTCATTATTTCAGTCATCAAAGATTCAGAACTCTTGCTCTATCATGGGCGTACTAGCAGTGTGCTTTTTCATTCAACCTGCACAAAAATATGGACCTCTTATCATATTGTGGAGATCCAAAAACATCATCATACCTGTTGAACTCAGATTTTACAGTTCAGATACCCACGCTAAACGTGTACAACCGACAATCTGCTCAGACAATCTAGATTGGTTATCAAAATTTCTTAGCAAAGCTCCTACAGAAGTTTAAGAATATGTCTGCTACGTATATTTTGATGTTCAAACCATATCTCCCGTCTCCTTTGCCTTGCACAAATTCATTATATTTGCGAGTATATTCTGCAGTTTGTATTCTTTAACTTATATATATCAAGGTATTAGTTATTTAGTTTCGCTTCCAAAGAGAAACCCCGATTGGAGAAAACAAACGGGCCTCCATTGGTTCATATTTTTTAAATATATTTTGCTTACGGTGCAGATGAAAGTTTCACTGTGCTATGGTTCTAAATTATGTAATGGCATCTACCACTTGATGACATGTGCTGTGACTAATGAAGTTGCATAAGAGCTCATGCATTCGTACTACTTTTAGAGATTTCTGGGCACTTACATGTGAGCAGAATTTTGTATTTTGGTCCTGATTGGCATCTTCCTTACAAGGGTTAGCTTCTATTGGTTCCTCTGTTCACTTTTTTTTTCTGACGAGAGGTTCTGCATGTTCCCTCAGAGAAGCCTTATGTTCTCCTCAAAGAAGCCTTATGTCCAAGAATAAATTACCTACGTTTGAGTGCGAGTAATGTACAGAATTTGTAATTTTTCATTTGTATTTTTTTTCCTCGAAGGATAATTGGGTGGTTGGTATTCAGCTATTTTTTATGTGCTGATAATGTTTTTTGTGCATATCAATTAACTGTCCATTTACATAAAGAAAGAAGTTTGTAATTCTTTGCGCCAGCTTTGAAGCTTTTCTTTCGTTGTCATCACTTTGTAAAGAATAGTTTTCCTTGTACAATCACCAGTATGCGTGCAAAATAGTAGCACTATACAAAACTGCCATCTTCTAGCCTGAAAATAGAAAGCAATACGATGCACATTTTTTGTTGCCTTCATTATGTTATTACATTATTGAATTTTGTTCCTCCTGTATTTAAATAATTGCTTCTTAGGATAAACTCGAAAATCACATTGTTATACGTGCGTTGCACGTGCATGACTACTAGTCAGATAGAAACTCGCGTGAAGCTCTTTCCGTTCAAAAAAAAAAATCAAAAGTTTCAAAATTGTTTGAATACATTCAGACGGTACCGCTTGTAACCCTTGTAACATCAGTTAAATTTGATGCACAAAATACCACATTAAACTTTGACTAACGCCCACATGTATGGGCGTCTGGCAACTCGCCCACACGCATGGATCCTCGTCCAACCAATTCTGCATGAATCTTGACGCGTTCTAGCAGTTTTTGTGTGCCACGTATGACTGGGCTGGGATGTGGGCATTCATCCGGTCGCCCACACGTTCTTTTTCACCATACGAGGGGCTGATGTGTGGGCGTTTAGCAATTCGCCCACACACCAGTTTTCACGCACGCAGAGGGGCTGGTGTGTGGGCGTTTATCACTTCACCCACACGCACGTCTCCTCCCCACATTCAAAGCTGTCAGTTGGCATGTGTTTCTGCAGGGTACATGGCAACTGCCTTAGCTTTGCTTGTAAGCAAATTGCAACTCACTTTTACCCGAGTTGCCATGTGTTTTTGCATGGTACATGGCAACTGCCCTAGCGTGCACGTAAGCAGATGGCAACTCTTTCTTTTACATGGCAACTGCCCTAGCTTTGCTTGTAAGCAGATGGCAACTCTCTCTTTTTACCCGAACATGTTTTTTTGCCATGCCTTTTTTGTAGTGCTACATGGCAACTGCCTAGTGTTAGTAGGTGGCAACTCCTAAAGTTTTGAAATCATGGCAACTGCAGTAGACCAGACCATACATGGCAACTGCAGTTGAGCAACCATGGCAACTATAGTTGTATGACATGGTAACTGTAGTTGAGCGACATGGCAACTGCAGTTAAATGAACATTGAAGAGGTTCCAGACCATGGCAACTGCGGAGACACGTGGTGGCTGTCACGCGGGGCGTGCGGGACCATAAAGTAGGAGGCCTGATGTACGGGCGTGTGGGCGTTATCTATTTTGCCACATGTAAGCATGTGAGAGGGACCGCGAGGAAAAAAAGGCGTGTGGGCATTACTTGTTTTGCCCACACGTAGGCGTGTGGGCTGATTTTCTTAAACATCACACAAAATGTGTGGGCAGACCCCTTAACACCCACACGTGTGGGCTTTATCGGCGTCCTAAACTTTTAAGAAGGATCAAATATTTCGCGAGGGCATCTCCAAAGCATAGCCTTCAAAGTACCACTCTTGAATGACTTTGTGGTATTGACCTTAGCCATCGCCGGTCATTTAGACGCTTTTGATAATCCGTTGATCTCCTTCTCGCCAACTCACATCCCCCTCCTTCAGTTTCATGTTTCTCATTGCCGTCTTCAGACCTTCATCTTTTCCTACTATCTTCTTTCTTTTCGACGCCTTTCTGTTGTGATCTAACGACGACATAGTTCTCGCTCAACCTGGTTCGTTTGGGGAATTGGCAGCGAAACACGATACAATGTGCTTGCGTATATGCTAACAGTAAATAGTTATACATACTCATTTAATTTCAATGAAGCATTTTTTGTGAATATTGTTGCGTATCATTTCATTGATAGGTGGAGAGAACATACATGGTGTCGCTCGAGGGGGCGTGCACACATCGGCGTCCCCAGGAGCGTGGTGTGAGCATGTTGAAGGTTGCTCAGCCTCGGTACAAACATTCTAGATTACAGGGATAATTAGTGCTAAGCCTTGAGCACCGGCTTTAGACCAAAGCCGGGCTTCCTCCTTGATGGTGTGGACAAGGGCGTCAGTAGATGGTCGGAGGCCGTCGAAGAGAGCGGCGTTTCGATGCTTCCAGATGCTCCAAGCG